TTGAACGCATGAACTGTGCTGTTAAAGGTTCTGAAGAGAGGGATATTTATATTCGTCTGAATGTCAACGATGGTATTGTAGCACTTGAGGGTTGTAGCGACGGTCCCGGTAAAAGCTGCCCATTGAACAGCTTCTTGAAGCATGTCAAGACCAGAGGGGAGATCGGCGGTGATTTTAGGAAAACTTGCGGGCTGGCTGAAGATGCAGCTGACCGTCTAACATTTTTACGACAACCGATGGGAAAGATGGAAGAGGTTGAGGTAGTTGCTGTGGAGGCGGTAAAGGAAAAGGAGAAGGAGAAGAAAAAGAGATTTTGGGGAATGTAACGCAATTTCTTTTTATTTCGCAAAATACGGTTATTTGTAGGTTATCATTGAGAAACGGTCCTGACTTGTAAAAGAAATGATTTTGAAATGAGGTATCTTTTGGAGACATTCTTTGCGTACCTCATTCGAATTTTACAAAATAATTGACTAGTTTTTCACTCGTTTTCTCTGTGTCATGAAATGTCACTCGTATGTATGCAACTCTCTAACCGAAGCATCCCTTTTAGTATAATAGCTCCGCATGAAGCTACATATACATGTACTACATGTAGTATCTTCCTGACGTTTTTGAACTGGGCCATTATTGCATACACCCAAAATCATGAGCTTGGCGTATTTTTGTATGGCATGCAATATCAGTCGCGTCCACAAACGTCAGGAAAATACGAGTATGTTATGTGTTTCTGCGAGATGTGGAAATGCATCCTATTGCCGTTTACCATGCAGCAGTTTATGATGAAGGCATTTTAATTTCCGATGCCTTTCCTGACGATCGCGATCCTACCTGCAATAGCTTTACAAACGGCTTTAGTCTTTAGTGAGGAGCGGCCTCCGGCCGCATATAAAATTAAACATCAGTTCGAGGAACCGCCGATATCAAAAGAAAAGGCTGTAAAGATCTAGAAAACTCATAGCTCTATTTAGTGTTTCGAATTGAACATACAGCTCTATACAATGGTTCGAAATAAAGATCGATTCCTCACACGCAGTCGGGGCCGCCTGCCGCTGCGCGGCATGCTGGCTCCCCCCTTGCTCGCATGAAGTGTTAGTTTCGGAAGAGCTCAAGAAGAACCATTGATGGAAAGTATAAAGGTTATAATATAACATTGGTCAGAGGGGCTATTATATATCATGACAGAACTCGTGGTTTGGTGACTTAGGAAAACATGCATGAAGACATGCATGTCGTCTCCCTTAATGCACCTAATTCTTTGTCTATCGACAGCTGTAGCTCCCCGGACTATACTCTAGAAATGGGAGGTAACTAGCTAATAGAAACCTTTCGTGATGATAGAGATACCTGACTATTCTATTTAGATATATATATATATTTAATTTATTAATTGTATGTAAACCGTAGTTTATGGTAATATCGTACTATCCCAGAACTACCCTACATCCACCATCATCTTCAAAATAAAGAAATAAAGAAAAGTAACTAATGCTAACAAACAATTTATCTCGCTCTAACAAATTTGACTCTGTCTCTCCTTCCATCTTCCATCCTGGGACCGTATATAAACCCTTCGTATCCTGAATAACCGTCCAAGTAGTACCTATGTATCCAGTGGGGGAGACCGATTATGCTTGTCTTGTCGCTGATACAAACGGCTTTATATGCACTAGTACCAATTTGAAAATTGCCACCGATTAAATTTTCCCGACGGTATTTCCCCTATATCAAGTAAGTGAGTTTTAAGGATGGCCTGAAGTTAAGTTAGCTATCCCATCGTCCGTCAGTGAAATGCTGACCCCCCAGAAAAAAACAAGTTTTGTGTGGCTTTACTAACAGATCTTGTTATCTCTCTTATCAAATAATAGATCTCCCATACAAATTTAATTCCTCTATTATAGGGGGGTCAGCATTGACGAACCATGGGATAGCTAAAATAAAGCAAAATAGTAGCCTAATGAGCAAGAAAAGAGTAAGAGGGAATAAGTTTGAAAATGTTGTACGTCAATGCCATATATGATAGTCTACGTACAACAAAGAAGTTACCGGATAAAGGAGTATCGTGTAATACCACATACCTATTTGTTCCATGATGCTGGATCAATAGAGGTTTAAGAGACTCGTCCAATGATCCGATTTTGACCGATTTGATCAACAAAAGCAATCAGATAATTTTAATCATTACCTAGGTAATGATTACAGCTGGGCTTTTACTGAGAGCCGTGTTTTAATTGACTTCACTCTTTAAATACTGCTTGTAATAGTCAAGTAAAATTTAACGACGAAAGCATCATTCCTAACCTTAATCTCGAGTGAGAATTCGTGAGACTATAATTATTTGGCAGGGCTTGCCTTAAGGCTATTATATATAGCGAGTAGGGTTGAAGTTAAATACTTGTATAGAATCATTAGCTAGCTCGTTGGCCGAGCCCAACGAGCACGTAGTTTAGTCTCGGCAAAGATTAAAGATGCAATCTGTACGATATATATGTTCCCCATATATATAATAACACTTGCCCTTATGTGTTTCTCAACATTGTCCCTCGCATACACTGTAACTTTCATTATGACGAGCATAATTTCGGAGTGTTAATTGCCTTTTAGATATGGAGATGAAGGTCTTCTCCAAATCGCTAGGAAAGAGGGGGAACTCAAAGGTACGTTCAGTGCCAACGTGATTTCCACGTAAAAAGTATGGAAACTCTGGTTAGTACGAGTCTAATATGTGCATGCACATGTATGCGTGCAAAGCTCTTCATATTAGTTTAAACGTTCCCGCATCTAGGCTTCAACTAAGATGTAGCTAGTAATACGCTAAACTCCTTACTCACGCCGCTACCAAATTTTTGCCTGACTTCTCCATGTAGCAATAGTGCTTCAGGGTTCTGTTGTTTTCTTTCTTTCACTCGACTTTCTATTAACATTATTCCGCAGTACTATAGTAAGAATTAGACCTTTTATAACTCAAGGAGAGTAACGGTTCCGGTACTTACTACATGTAGTTTATTCCGCCAACGACAATTTGTCCTGCACCATTCCATTGCTCTCATTTCCTACCAGATCCTTCACTATTCACGACATCCTGGACCGGTCCGCTCCACATACTCTATATTTATCTCGAACCCGAATAATAGAAATCACATTGTATCACGATGTGTGAAAACATCAAGTATAAGGCAGATAAGGTTAACAATATGGGGAGAACATATCGTACCCAGGGGTAGTAGTATCTTAGGCCTTTGTCCCTGATCGTTTAGATTCACTCACTCATGATTGGTTAATCATGCGAGATCTTAATTTCTCATTATTAAATGACCGATTAGGTTTCAACCTAAGGATCCTTTGCAATCTAGTGTCAGGTCACAATAACACCCTCCAAAAACCGACCCAAACGAAACCAAATAACGGCACACACTATTACCATCGCTATCCGTCTTTAGACCCTAATTGTAACATTTTGTAAGTCCTTCAATAAGAAATACAAATCTCCTAACTGTATATTGCGAATCCACGTTTTGATGGTAAACTCCAACATCTTTTAGTCAACATATCTAGCAATTATAAGCATATAGCTTTCAATGAACTCGGTATTTGAAATATAGACAAGTATCAATTATAGGGAAAGGTATATATACCCAACCTTGGAGCATTCATAGTGTGTATCAGTTCGCAGTACTCTATACATCGATATCTCGATGTATCTCTAGACATATAGCCGGAGAAATACACATGGGCCCAGATCTTCGGTTCTGATAAACGTACTTCTTTCCACCTTAATCTCGATCTATGACCTGGAAGCTTTAGATCACCGAGATTCGTAAGATTCGAGCGCCATATATAGCAGAGAGTTAAACAATCATGTGCCCCCCTTGGAACTAAAATTTGACTCCTCACATAAATCAAGGAAAATGTTTCTCGATCACCAAGCATAATAGGCTAGTGAAGCTGAATGCTATAATGCATAACTTAGAGTAATAGGGTGTCGAGTTTTATTTCCGAAGAGCTGAGAGGCTATGCATAGTTGAGCATCTCGGGCATGACGATGCAAAGCTGTAATAGTTATTCAGAACTCCTTAAATCTCCACATAATCAGCTTCATCGGTTAGTAATTGAAATGATATGATAGGATATTTTCACGTGCTCTAAGCACAGGGTCTCAAATTGAAGGGACAGGCTGTCTCACGTTTATCATATATCAGCACGTACGTACTCCGACGCACGATGTAAATGATGATTGGCCAATCCTCAACACAGAGCGGTGAGGGCTCGGGAAAGGGTGACGAAAGGCCAAGTCCATTCTGTAGCAGATATGGGCTATATGGATTCCGGTAATGCAACAAATGCCCTACGTGTACTTTGGATTTTTGACATCGATGATTACGTCTGCAGCGGATGGTTTGTGTATGGACAAGTCAGCCAAAGATTAGGGCCGAGTATCAGATCGTTAATGGGTGACTATAGACAAACCTGCTCATTGGTAGCAAGCCTCTCCCGTAGATGGCCCGCTGGCATTTCTTGCCGACGGATCGGAGAGAGCCGACATTATGCAGCTTCGGCGACCTCTCCAGGTGGACAACGGCCCGAGCCGATAAGCCATTGTTTCGAAACATCACCGTTGCTCTGTTTGCTTTTGATGATCATATGAAGATTGAAATACCGGAAAGAATACGCGGGTGCCAATTTCTTGTTCTCAGTAGCTGAGGGTTCATAAGTAACTTCATATCGAGGAGATGTTGGAATATAGCCAAGAGAGCAAGTGTCTTAATTAAAACAAAAACAGGCACTGAGAAAAATTCCTCTTGGGATCTGGGCCAGCGATGATTCCTGAATCCTCTGCAGGCAGTCTCCAATGGGTCTTGACGGACATGATGCCTCCACGTAGCAACATCCAATTATACTGTCGGCATCACCCCGCTATCCCAACCCCCAACATAAGAAACGATCGAGGATTACTTCACGGTTCGTGTCTTCTAATATGATAGGTCCTGTAACACGATAGGTCATTGAGAGTTTCCTAAGGACCCTGACCTGACCCTGTTCTGTTTCGTTAGACGAGAACCTTGAGGACCAATGGATCTAGGAGATCTCCTATTTATATCAGGTTCTTGGAAATTACCATGGTGCCGGAGAAGTAGGGTCAAAAGTGAGGCCCAATAAACTTACAGTGCGTCGTGCCCTCCAAAGTAAAAGTTTTCCCTGCGAACAGAGAGAGATTTAATGGAATGTCTGCCTGTTTTGTTTTTACAGTAAACCTTGCTTTTTCTAAACTTATTCCAATTAGAGCATGGGTAAGTGATTTTTTCTTTCGGAATTACACCTTTAGGGTTATACTATAGGACCCCGAACACTCGGAGAGCGTCAATCACATCTAGGATACTACCAGATATATACCCAATGAGTCGGAGATGTTTTCTATCGATAAAAACAACCCCCCTGGAACAAGAACGTCGATTCTGTCAGCAGCACTGGGGACCGCTCAGTAGCGAGTAGGCAATGTATGAATAGAATCGAAGCACATATAGCTATCTTCAGGAAATGATTATTTAAGGGTTATCATTTATAAGCAAGTGTATACTCAATAGTATTGCAGCGATATCAAATGCGCTGTGATAAGTACTACGCTCTTCCAATGTTAGTTAGACCAGTACGGTGATAGTTATGGATAGGTTCCTCCGACCTGCGCATCGAGTGATAATCCATGAAGATCCATCACGGCGACCTAAGCACTTAACGGGCTTAATTGGAATAGTCGTCTATTGCAAGTTGATACTAGACACAAGGACATCGCGCGATCGACCGGGAGCAATACATGAGCTGGGACCGATAAGCTCCCCGAGACATTACGGTAAATCCCGCAAAAGACTAGCCACGTTCCACCCACCGAGCCTTATCAATACCGGGATTTCCCAACGGCATGTGTGTGATCGTGGCTTGGGCTCAGTGACATGGCAAGTCAAAACGGCGATGTATGTGTAAAGCGCACTACATGTAGGTCCTCTGGCTATGTAACTCCATCAGCATCTGCAACATCAATAACCATTGTTGACTCTTTACCCAGCACAATGACCTCATCTACCTTTGCAGATTGTACAGCAGAACAGATGCTGTCTCATTGCTGATGCCGCGCAAGCCAGCTGCAACACGGTGACTCTGCAGTGCCCATTCCCAGCCATAAGCCCGCCACCCGAGCTCTCGGAACCAGTCCCACAAATGATATAGCAGCAGTGCAGGCGTTCCCGAAGGACTTCGCACATCGCAATGACTGTCCGAGGGGAGTTAGGTAGGATTGACTGAAGGGTGCACTCGAGGTATATATGTGGGAGCAGTCATGAAATTTTGATTCACCACATTCGCGGAGCCTCTTGGAGCCAGGCACTTAGAGTATGTAGTTTATCCTGGATGCGCGTGCGTACATACATGGATGATGAAGGATGCGAGCACCTCGTAGATCATCCCCAACGTCTGTGCACGTGTTCGGGAAAAGGATCGTCAGATGTGAGATTGGCGGAGGTGCATGTAGGTACATCTCACCCCTGATTTGCGGGTTTCTGGGCGCGTCTGATTCTACCTACTATATGTAGATGACTAGCAAACCAATTCACCACACATGGCATACGATAGTTATCGAGTACATCCATAGATCCGGGAAGACTCGAACCGGATTATGCCCTCCGGGGTAGGCTCTGTAGACAAGTGCGTGCTGGTCTGTTTGATCCTTCACTCGCTTTTACTGGCATAACATGCGTACTCTAATATACTACTCTGGGGCAGGGCATTGTTTTGAGTGTGTTCCTACATCTCCAGGAACATGGAAATAAGGTTCCAAAATCAAGCCCCTTGGCGTTGACAGAAACCGCCCAGTTGAATTTCAAATCCAATTGCCAAGACGGAATCCTAGGACAAACGATAACCATAGAGCCTGTGCGATGTCTAACTTTCGATATGATGTATGTAGAGCACATACGAGTACAGCATAACCAGGCCAGCACTGGCTGGCCACCGCCATTCACAAGCATCGGATGTGTTCCAGACTCTTTCAAATTTTTTCTGCTTGCACATAGGTACTTCTGCAGAGTAAACAAGTGCACCACCCCATGAAGTCAAAGGCTTGCCATGGGTTCAGCAGTAATTCAAAGCCCACAAAGTGAAGGGCATAGGCTGTATATGTATGATAGGGGCAATATTGCCCCTCATATCTGAAATTGTTGTCTTGGTCAACGGCCAAACTTCCAGCCAATCTATCAAATCCAAGGGTAGATTTGTAATTGTTGCACATATTGTTGCACATACGTACTGCTTCTCGTCACCACTGCAGGCATCCCCCCTAGAAGGTGGGAAACCGCAATCAACTTTATTTGGTGGCCTACCAAACAGCGCATAGCCTCTGATGTGCGGGTAATAAAGTACCAGATACCCCAAAATTCCGGGCTGGCCCCTAATGCCGGGTATCATGAGATCTATTGCAACAAACCTCCAGATCATCTTCCGATATATCGAAAAACACACCGGCTGTAATACACACCCGTGAGAAAGAGTAGGGTTTGAACTCGAGTGTACTTTCCGCGTTATTCGGCGGCTTTACACCAGGCTCTGAACTACCCGGAGTCAATATCTGCACCAACTCCTAAATCGAGTGAACGATTCCGATTCAGATGTCTATCGGCGCCTGGATTTTGATTTTGGCTCTATCGTTTGCTCAGTGGCCGACCGTCATAGCACAGGGAGATGGATCGAATCTGGCTGATGATCGAAGGCCTGCGCTATACACCGGAGACTTTGGGAACTGTATGGAGAACTCCACCATCACAATATCCCGCTTCGATGCCGCTTACTATGCCGATAATATGACTGTTCTCTTCCACATCGATGGAAAGACCTCCTTGGTCAATGATAACCTGATGAGTAAGTATACACATGTATATATAGAACTTTTAAGGTTTTCTCCACGGGCCTAAGCTAACCTTACTGCTTACAATACATTAGTTTATCTGACCGTGGATGCATGTTCGTGGCTATAATAATCCTCAAGCACTATGGTATATGTACTGATCAACAGGGCCATAATACATCTAGATGGAGAAAGCCGATTTAGTATATTATTCAACCCGTGCAATGCAAATCTTCCTTCACTTTGTCCGGCTAGATCGGGTGTAAATATAACAGCAGCACACATAATCCCAGTATCTCAAGCTGATGTTTCTGAGATTCCAGGTTCATAATCTGATGTTTATAATATATATCATTAATAGATAGATTTCTAACTTATTTTTATTAGCCATTGCTTTTGCCATACCAGACTTTGAGGGACGGGCAGATTTACGAATATTTTCAAATTCCACAAACCGCCAGGTTGCATGTGTAACTGCTATCATTACAAACGGAAAAACCTTCTCGCATCCAAAGATCATTTCATCCATATTAGGAGGATTTGCCTTTATCGTTTTCATTTCGTCGTTTATCGCAGCTTGCAGCACGTTTGTCACCGGCGATGGAATTATCGGTTCACGATCACTATATGCTCACTCCCTCTCTGTATATATGGTATTTTCATGTTTCCATTCCATATTCTTTACTGGAGCGTTGTCGATCGATTTTCCCAGTGTCCTCATTTCCTTCTGGTCGAACTTTGCTTGGTCTGCTGGCTTGATCAAGGCGGAGTCTATGCAGGACTCGCTGGACCGAATCACCAGAAAATCCGCTCCATCCATAGATGCGACGGACCCCAGCGGGCAGGCACTGGATCTCGAAAGAGAGCTATATTCGCTCTCGAAACGGGACTTCCAGTTTGGAGTGCATCAGAAAGAGGGACTCCCGGTTCCTGGAAGTTACATAGGCTTTCCCGCGACTCTTGCGCAATTAGATTTAACCGCTACTAATGCGTTCATGACAGCATTTCTCTGGTTTCTAGTTCTCCTCGTAAGTCTGGTTGTCGTCGTCGGGGGTTTGAAATTGATACTGGGCGCATGTACTGCCGCTGGGCTGGGGAAAGATCGAGTTAAAGTGTTTCGAGACAACTGGTTAGCTTTTCTCAAATCAATTTTGTGTAGAACGGTTTGGATTCTCATTCTTTTTCTTTTAACCTCTCTACGGGATGTATGGTATGATGTAAAAAACGAATAGATACTTACGATCTTCTAGGTGCTCATTGCTTTCTTCCCCATGATGCTACTTGCAACTTTTCAGTTTACATTGAAGGTGCCTGGGCCTCAAGCAATTGCCGCAATTGTATTCATGACCCTGCTCGTTGGGGTATCTGCGGGCATAGCGCATGCATACGTTATTATCTTGCGTGGGGGAAGACTCAAAAGCGAAAAGGAAAGCCGAGTGATATCTCTTGAACGTAAGTTTGGTTTCGTGCCGTGGTGTAAGATCTCGCGCCAAGGCAGTAACGCCGCTGATCAAAAGCCATCCCCGACCCTCATACCTTGGTGGAAGCTGTCAATTGAAAAAAACCAAGAACGTGATATTCATGACGAGGAAACGCTCGTCCATCAGTTCGGGTGGCTATCTGCCCGGTTCCGAAGGCGCAGATGGTGGTTCTTCGGACCGTGGTTCCTTTACGAGTTCATCAGAGCATTGTTCTATGGCGGAGGTCAAAGCAATCCACGAGCACAGATTCTCGGGTTACTGGCCCTAGAGATCATTGCCCTCGGTGTTTCAGCTTCTGCGAGCCCCTTCCAAAGTGTGAGGTTAGTAGAAGAGGGATCTGATTATTACATCATAGTTACTATACCGCAATATCACTAACTACTTATTATCATTCAGATTAAACGCATTAATATATGTTTTCGGTATCATGAAGATTTCAACCTTAGCAATAATCGCCGCCTTGATGCTTAATACCGGTACAAATGTAAGCATTCAATATTTTACCACTTGCCAAATAGGGTAATCGACAAGCAAATCTGACATGGTGATCATAGAGGATCGTCGTAACGGTACTTGGGATTGTCATCGTTGTGTTCCAAGGGGTCACAGTGTTGGTGGTGATCATATTTGGCGCAGTCAACGTTTACACTACGTATTTCGCGCTTGCCCCTCTAGAATCCAGGATCAAACCCGAATCTTGCATACCGGTCAGGGAAAAGTACCTCAAACACATCCAAACAAGATCTGTCGACATCGATCCACCGCCAAAGGTCGAGACTGAACCTGTTGTGCCCTCATTTTCCGTCACGGATGTGCGAAGATATCCCAAAATTGACGATGAATATGATGACCAAAGGGGACCCCTGTTTTCAGGATCTTCGCGAAGGGCAAACGCCCCTTCAGGAGTAAGATTGCCACGCCGAACCTGGTCACCGAGTCAAAGCTGGACCAATGAAGGCATGCCCTCAATTCCCCATCTGGTCAGTTCACGAACCGATTGGCCTATCCTCAATCCACTACCAGCCTCTATAAATAATAGTTTTCGTAAAGAGACCCCACTCGGACAAGCACAAAACTTGCAGTCGTTAGAAACCGATGTACATACCTTCCCACAAAAATTCTAGTTTTTTTCTTTCCTTTTTCCTTTACGGTAGAGAAAACTCTTCGAATATTGGCATGCTTACTCATTTTATTGTACTCTTTTTCAGTTGAGTAACCACAAATACGATGTTTGGTGGTAACGGCTGATGTCTGATGTCTTTCCTTTGTGGTGTATATAATAGTAATAATTTATATATTTATATATATATATATATACTGGTTGGGGGCGCTCTGTCGTTACGCTTGCGGAAATAGAAATCACAACAACAGTAATTTATGTTGATCAGATGTCGGCAGCCTGACCGCAGTAGATCATTTCCTTTTTGTGGTGTTGAGTTCTTTTTTCTGGAAAAGCAACATTACCCGAACGTTTGAGTACTTCGTCACCTTTGACGGTCTGTGCGGTTCTGACAGCGGTCAACGACAGGATGGTTTTCGTTCAACACGGACCTTTCTCGGAGGTGTGAGGATACTCTAAGGAGAGTAAGTAGCTTCCCCACTGGGGTGGCACGGCTCCTAGTCTAGAGGGGGTGGTGACCGAGGGAGAGAGAGGAGCCCTGCAGCACTTTATGTACCGTCCTGGTCCCAATGTCCCAGTGTTCCAATCATCAATTTGCAATCGCTTTAGGCTTTTATCCTATCCTATTCTGTGAATCATCCGATATCGAGATGTATCTTAAATTATGATTCCGAGTGATCGACCACGTTAGATCCTTTGGGAATGGAGAGACAGGCTTTGGGTGGATGGATGGATGGATTGGGAGGAGTGGAGGAGTGCTGGAGGAGGAGGAGGATTGATAGGGTAGTTGGGATGTAGTTCTAGCCGATGCCCAGGGAAAGGGCCTACCATGTGAGCTCATCGGTCAAAAACAAATAACAGCAGGCAGCTATGATACCCTAAATGTACCTAAATGTACCTACACGGCTTCCCCAGCCGTTTTCTCCCTTGCGTGTTGTGGTTGTGTCCCAGGTCTCCTCCCTTTTCTCCGCTCTTCACTTTCACATCCCACGCACGGAGGCCCTGAGAAAGGAAGAAGGAAAGAAAATAAAATACTTACGCCATGAAACTCACCAACTGTGCAAGCGAGCCGGTTAAATTCAGGTGTGATTCCTGTAAAAGGGCGATGATTGCCACCTTTCTCGGGGAAGTCACCACGCTTCAACGCTTAATTACATCGTGGAGCGGCCAGCTGGTACAATCTGATACAGCGGCGATCAAAGATTATTAAATAAACCGCGGTAACTTCGCCATCTTAGCTTTTCGCCCCTTTTCAAAAGCCGTTTAGTAGCCTCCTCCCTCAATTAACACACCTCACACATATCACTTACTCTACACGCACGCACACACATACATCCACATACGCTCACACACCAAGGACCTTGTCAGTTCAGTCTAATATGTTGGATGTCAATTGATACCAGGAAGATTCAAGGAGTGGTGGGGAGGGGGGGCAGTTGGGTCGCCGATCAGCTGTAGCAATTGTTTATTTGTGGGCTGCATGTAGGGCGTGTAGTAGTAATAATTGTTTCCCAATCTTCTGTGCGTTCTCTTCTTCAGTAATCCTTGGACGAACCCTTTCCTCCACGCGAGGTGCGTTACCGGAGAATTTGGGAAGGGGGAGAAGTACGTCTTTGACAGGTTGACAGCCGCCCGTTTCATATATGGAAAGGGCGTTAGTTGGACTGTTCGCGACGCGACGGCCAAGCGCCTCTTCATGCGGGGACCAACGCGGTACGGTGATCTTGTACCAGGGCCCCTGATTGGTATCTTGATAAATTTCTCTGTTTGATTCACACTGGGCTGCATGATGTGGATGACGCTTCGGCACAGCTTGCGAGGGAATTCCGACTTGTGGAACGGTAAGATTTGCGGTCCCACCGGACAGGGTACGTTCATTTTCGGACCAGGATGCATGCTTGTTGTTGGTTCTTCCACCAGCGTTCCATGCAGATTCTTATAGAAGGTCATGATTCAGGTCACGAAATAGTAAGAATCCATGGGTGGATGGATGGATATAGTGGTGGTGGGTGATGGTTGATGAATATGGGTAAGTACTCTGTACTTCCCAGCATGCGTATCCGTAATCTAGAGCACTTTAGGAGGGAGTCCCATCTCTAGGGGGAGATCTACCATATTATGCCAGATTCCCGTCGATAAATGACGCCGGCAAGACAGCGAAGGCACCCAATTATCGTTCGGATATGTGCAAATACCCCTCCGCCTTTACCCAAGATAGAACGCCGTGCCGACCCCATAGGTGCGGTCGATATGGGTCGCGGGGGGGGAGTGAAGGGAAGGGAAGGGAAGAAGGGAAGGAGGGAAGGAGGGAAGGAGTCGAAGCATAGCATACGCTGCTCGTGCTCGTGCAACACCACCAAGGGCCAAAATATCATCGCCGAATGGCAAGTGTGGACTGTGTGGTGAGCCTCTTCTCATCGGCCACCATTTTATCAGTGGGGGTTTCCCTGACTTCGGGATCCACCATCTGTGATAGGCAACTCTCACCCGAGGATCCACCTTACTACCCGTCCATCCCTTGCAAATCATACAATCTTTTGCATGATGATAGCCCACACCCTGAACAACTTCTGCTTTTTTTCGATTCCCTTGTAGACTAATAACTATTTTTCTCTTGCCCTTTTTCGCGATGCTTCATGTGTTTTTTTCCCCAGAAGAAATATACTGAGCAGAGCACGAGTGCCGTATCCAAACTCCCGTTTTTACAAACTCTACTCTAACCTCTTCCCCCCTCCCCCCCCGTCCTCCATACATCTCCGTCCCCCCGTCTATCATCATCATAATCCTCAACCCCCATCAAACTGTCGTTTCGTCTGATCAAGGGTTCTAAAACCCCACATACTCCCCTTATTTCAACGAGACTCACACATACATACACACATCACATACACATCTACACCTCGGTTCCCGGCAAGAACCCATATGGCATATCGTACGATTAAGATTGATTGATTGATTACACTCACGGTTCACTTGCACACCGCTGATTCACCACTCACACCGAACACAACTGCCGCGCCAGCGCCATCTCGCTTAACGTACTTTGTAACAACCAAAATTGACCTTGACCTCACCTCACAGCAGCTCTCCCAGGCAAATTGATGCGCGCTTAGGCGAAAATTGATGGTGGGCAGGTAGGGTTGGCTGTGTCTGATTCGCTTCCGGCCACGTTGCTGCAAACTGTGACGGGCCGTATGGTTGTAGATCAGCGGAGGGGGGCGTGGGTGTGTCGCAAAGCAGCATGATCGATACGGGTCTCTCAATCATACTCGCTCACTCACCCACCTCTCGCTCTCGCTCTGGTCTACTCTGTGTATACAGACAGTGGTTAAGGCTTCGTGAATCGTAAGGTTGGGGAAATCCATGGGCGCTGCTGCAAAGATGATCTATCATAAAGAGGCGGGCAGCTATGACGGATGATAGGGCATGTGTGCGTTGGAAACTCAATTGAGAGAGAAAGAAGCAAAGCAGTAAAGCAGAGGGAAGGGTAAAAAAAAAAAAAAGTGGAGTAAACTTGGAATCTGCAGGTTTACCTCTTCTCACCGCCGCTGCACATATCTTTCCTGCTCTCGGCCAGCGCAGCGGTGCTGTTTAGGTCACTTGACTGCCTTCTGGAAGCCAGATAGAAAAAAAATTGATGGGCCCTCTTTTTAATGCGGTGAATGGGAATATCGCACTGGCTGCGTTAGGTAGGAGGGTGGGTCGTATTTGGGTTAGGAGAAGGGAAAATCCAACAAGATACCTCCTCTACCTAGGTACTCTCGACTTTACCAACCTCCAACCCCTCCCCACGAATTGCGTTCCCGACCTGTGGGACAGCGTCGTCACATTTGGTCTGCATTTTTCCCATTTTTTTCCTTTTTTCTGGCAGACGTTCGTCCCTCCCGGGCAGGCAGGCTTCTCTGGGAAAACGATCTGCGCGATGATTGTTTCGCCCCCATCTCACCCTTGGAATCGTGCGTGGATGATTATCGGGGAATCCCTGTAAATCAAGACACAATCCCGACCCTCTGTTTAGACGGTCAATCACGGTAAAATGCAGCGCGATTGATTGGTGTAATCTACCACATTTGAAACACTGACGGCTCAAAAGCGGTAAGGTCGACGCCCTCCAGGGATCCGTTGAAGGCCCCTGACCACATCCCCTGCTGCTCATCATCGTCAGCAATGATCGTTCGCGCAGCAAGCAGCAGCAGCAGCAGCAGCAGGCAGCGTCGCTCCCTCCCTCCCTTCCTTACCAGGTCCAGCCAACCAGAGTGAAGAGGACGGCGAAGCCCACTGCTCTTCCGCGCTATCAATGCTTGCTTGCACCTGTTCTTGCTGTTCTTTACTTTTTCTCTGCGGCTGGCTCGATTTGAGCGATCAGTCATGGTATGGTGCAACCGGTATGTACGAGCGCCCCAACTTCAACTCATCCAAAGTTGTGTTGCTGTAGGTAGGTGGAGCAGAATTTGTCTTGCCTTGTATTGAAGCTTTTGCCTACATACATACTGACGATGATTTCATTTCCACACACGTAAAAAAAAAAACCCCAAAAAGAAAAAAACTGACCGCCGGTACTTTGGGAATGAGGGGGAATCGTGAAAGTCCGGATGGATGAGGGTGTACATGCCAACTAAGATCTACCCAGCGATAAAGTACAGACGGACAACGCTGCCTACCAACAATTGATCCCCTATACTCTAATCGAATATATAGTTATATGTATGCGCTGCGTCATGTCACAGCACCCGTCGCATAGACCTATATTCGAGACGAAGTACGAAAGAGCATCTTGAGGGGAGGGGGGTGGTAATTCCTAATATCGTTCTGTTATGGCAGAAATATATATTACTGACGATCTTATGATGTTTGACACCATCCATCCAGGCGGTTGGTTTGAGGGTTCGAACATTGATAGTAACAGAGAATAGAGTACAATAATAGCCACTACCTGCCCTGTGTATTTCAAGGGCAATAGAGATGTGTGTATGTATATACCGTACATACTTCAGCGCCGCCATGCTTCTGCGCATTGAGCATCTTGTGTACAGTACAGGGCCCCCTGCTGGAGAACGAAATCCCGAATTTTCTACACACCCTCTCTACATGGCGAGCAGAACAATTCAGGATGAAGAAAAAGAAAAGAAACAACAAAAACAAGAGCATGAAGGGGTCCAGGAAGGGCCCGTTTTGCCGAGACCCGCCTGTACTGGAAAGTGCTGTTTCGGGTTCAAAGGGTCGTCGTTTCCACCTACGTCAAGTCAAATATGTGCCATTCGACCACAACAATCCGTGCCTCATCTACCCCGGAGCCATAAACTGCCATCTCTGAGGCATTGATTACCTCTTCTATCGAGATCGTCCTTGGAAACCAGGCTGTTGGTGTAAAAGGCACCTGAAGCGGTGGGTAATATGGCGTAGGTGGGCGGATGATACTGCTACTCAGGTCTTCCTCTGCCCAGTGAGTTCCTCCCATAGCCATTTCTCATCCCATCTTTTGCACCTGCCCCCATGCTTTTCCGGTGAATCTCAACCAGTAAAAGGATTGTGGCAATCACCGATGATTTCCCCACTTTGACTCCACGGGGCGACTCGTTCTTGTCTTTTGACGATAGTGAGCTGCTGCTGCTGCGTGAGCTTGTTCCTTTGGTTTGTGACCTTGATGAATGAACTATGTCCATGACTCTAGATTACCATTTCCATATTCTTACCCTTGATGCGAATGCTCCAGAGTACTCATAACCTTGTCTTTCCTCCTGACTGTCTCTCCCCCGCTATCAGGCCGTTACCCATGACCTTAGGTAGCTGTTGTATAAACGTTCATACCACTGTTTCCTGTCACCCCTTTTTTTTTTGGCTTCCCCCTTGTCGTGGGGGATTTCATAGATGACAGTAACAGTTACCTACAGGCAGTCGATCTTATCACGTTTACTTGCATCTCGGTATCTTTTTGTTATTTCCTTTTTCTGACTTACTTCTTCGTCTTCGTCGTCTTAATCTTCTCCTAAAACGCCATATCACAAATATTGGGGGATCCATGATCCATCCCATCCAATCGACGCATCCCTTCTTCCGACTCTCTCTCTCACTCACTTGCTCGCTCCTTGCGTCCCCTCCGTACGGTGCGCGGTGTGGAGTACTGCCGTCCTAGACCCATTGTGACTACCCTGCGTACAGGGGGAGACTTGATATACTTTCTCGCTCCACCCGTCATCCCATCATCCATCATCCTGTTGATGATCTTTCGATTTCGGCCTCTACATTCGTAGTAGCCTCTTCCCATTGCAGACGTACCGGGCATTCCCCATTTTCCCTGTAAAATCAGCACGGTCAATCAATCGGGACGTCAATCAACCCCGTTTTTCCTTTCCCTACATACATACTCTTTACCTGGGGTGGAGGGGGGGGGAGGACCTTGTCTGCCTGCCTGCGCATCCTTTACCGTTACCTTACATTTGTGTCCGAAGGAAGGAGGAGAGGAAGGAAGGAGGAATTTGAAAAGAACCAGGGGTTTTTCCTTCTACCTACTAGCTCTCGCTCTCTTTGTGTTCGCTTCGAGGATATTAGGGATTATTATTATTTATTTTTTTCATTCTCTGCGGTTACTTTTTACTTACTAAACCGCTGTTGCCTCTGGGGACCTTTTTTACTTTTGGGGCCTGGCTTCCAGTTGCTATTTTTTTTTTTTTTCTCCGTTCCCTGGCAAATATCCGACGTTAACGGTTGGGGTGCTTTTTTGGAACCTGGCCCACCACCATTACCAGCAGCAGCAGTACCACCAGCTAAGCTACCACCACCAGCACCACCACCACTACCCAGTTGCACGCTACTTACTACCATTACCACTTACTATACCCCCCTCGGCCTCGCATCACCATCCCGAACTAAATAATCCTCACCCGTCGCCTGGATTTCCTTTCCCAGGAACACAGAGAAAGAGAGGCGGTCCCATAAATACCCCCACGACGCCCTCTCCCATTAATTCAAGGTCACCCGTTGGATTAATACTTGTGTCCCCAAGCGGCTGCTACTGCTACTACTACTGGTGTATTATTATTTGACTGTCGTCCGTTCCTCGAGTCGAAAGTGTTTAATAGTCTCCAACATTCCCACGTGCTCCCTCCCTCCCACCACCCCCCCACTACCACTACCACTACCACTACCACTACCACTACCACTACCACTACCACTACCACTACCACTACCACTACCACTGCCACTGTTGCTACTACTGCCACTTGCCATTGATATAGTGGTATATCAGAAAGAAAAGAGACTGTATTTTCATCCCATCTCTTCTCACGCGCGCACAGAGGGAAAAAAATAAATATATTCCACATTACATCCACTACAACTACAACTATCCTACCAGCATACATACATACCCCATCATCCATCCATACCCCATCATCCATCCATCCATCCATCCATCCATCCATCCATCCATACATCAATCCATACAATACTCACTCCAATACTCATATCCACCAACAGCAACACCACAATACAAACCATCACAATGAATCTACCAAGCCTCGTCCACCCTTCGCATTCACAGCACCAGACCCACTTCTCACCAATGCCAGGCCACGGACACCGCCCAGAGCACTCGATGCTGAGCTCACAACACGGCCACCACCACAACCACCAGCAGCACTACTCGCATCACGAATACCACTCGCACCCCCCAGCGCCGCCTCCATCACCGCCAGTGGAGGACAACTCAAAGTGCTCACTACCATCAATTTCAACATTGCTTGTATATGCCGACTGCGGGCCTGCGAATAGCAATGGAACTGGTAAGCTTTTCTTTTTTCCTTCCTCTTCCCTTCGAGATGCATTATACATTACATATACCGTATATGGTTTCTTTCCAATATGCGAACTCTATTTTTTATTTTTTTATTTTTTTTGTACTAACAACCTGTTACAGGACAACAACCCAGCCAGTCGCACTCGCCATCCCAATACCACAGCCAGCCCTCACCGCATTCCATCTCGCGCGTAACCCTTCCACCCACGCCTCCAATGCGCCCCGACTCTGTCTTTGAGGGCAGCACAAACTCGCCCACTCTGCCCGCCCAAACCCCGTCATATTTCTACTCGCCCAGCTCCAGCCACCGCAACAGCTACCCTCCCGTGCAGCAAAAATCACCCGTCTACTCGTCGCCCGAGTCGCCGTACCCCCCGCCACACCAGTCCTCATACTACCCGCCTCCTCCACCACCGCCGCCATCACAGCAGCAGCAGCAGCAGCAGCAGCAGCAGCAGCAGCAGCAGCAGCAGCAGCAGCAGCAGTCGGCGTCGTCGCCGTCAATGGGGTATGGCAAGAGCCTGCCGCCGCACCCGCACATGATCCCCGTCTCGGTGGCACCGCCATCAGCGTCTAATCCGTGGCACCACCACCACCACTCGTCGCCGGCGTCGCATGCCGCTTTCCCCCAGAGCCAAGACCGATACATCTGCCAGACATGCAACAAGGCCTTCTCAAGACCGAGTAGTCTGAGGATACACAGCCACAGCCACACGGGCGAGAAGCCGTTCAAGTGTCCGCATCATGGGTGCGGCAAGGCGTTCAGTGTACGGAGTAATATGAAGCGTCATGAAAGGGGTTGCCACCAATAGGGGTGAAGCAATTGTATGTGCGAACAGGAACAAAAAAAAGAAAAAAGGAAACATAAAAAAAAGTATGGAACTATGGTATCATATGTGGGACATGATAATTTTTTTTTTCGGCCTGGAAGGTCCTTCAAAAGAAACGACCTGAGGTCCTGGGTAATTTATTTGTTTTACGGGTTTTTTTATTGTCTCTTTTTCTTTTGTGTATGGGTATGCGGTTTTTTGGTCGTTTATTTGTTCTATACCTGGGGGGTTTTGTCTTTTGTTTTCAAATGCTCATTAATCATCTGTCTTTTATTAACCTTTTTTTATACTATTATCATTCATGGCGGGTTAACTTTGAACTTTTTTTTGTAGCTAAAAGGGTACTACTAAAATGGGTATAGCAGCTGGAGCCATGCATCTTATCATATCCCGCTGCTGGCCGGGGAGAGCGTTGTGTATAATTCTTTTCTATTTTTTTCTGTTTACTATTTTCCTTTTCTCTATCATCATCATACTGGCCGGCGGGGTTCATTTATCATACTTATCATACTAGGTACTACTACTACTATACTACTACTACTACATTACTACTACTGTCGTTTTATATAATCATTTCTCCTCATTATTTTTATGTTTCCTTTAAATCTTTATTGTTACGGGGCCGGGATGGCATGGGCGTCAAAAACTTGCGGAATTCGAATTCGAATATAAAGTATATATATATGATCAGGTTTTACAAGGAACTAGCTGGGCGGTGTTATATTATTCATTACGATTTTTATTTTTTTCGGTAGAGAGAACTCGGACTTCTTGGGTGGTTCAACTCTAGAACTTTGTTAGTCATGTTCTTCTTATTATGACTGGAACTAAGCCAGGGGACGGACCGGCCGGGGTGAGGCGGGGGGGGTAGGTAGGGTACATGTAGGTTTAAGGTCATATCTAAAAGCAAATAAAAAGCAAAGCCAAAAAACCAAACCAAACCGAAAAAAAAAATAAAATGTATTATAGAAATACCCGCTCCTGGCGGCAGATATATATATATATATACCTATATATTATATCCTCTATATACGCAGGGTCTTAAACTCTTGGTAATTGGTACCACCTCCCGGGAAATTTCGTTCGAGAAGGAAAAGGAAAAATTCTCTGTCAAGCTTGTTTTTTTTCTTTCGTTTTGTTTCTCCGGAGTGCTGCTATTATCATATCATAGAAGCATCGTGATATGAGAGGGGAGGGGATCCGGAGGGGAATGAAATCATCATTACTCTATTGCACCACCCACCTCCTTCCTGGTAGGTAGGGAGGCAGAACAGACAGCCATGATCACCCACACGTGGTAGGGATCGATGGAATGTTCCGTTTGCTTGAGCTTTCGGTGCCGGTGCGGTGCGGTGCGGTGCGCATCAGACATTGGGGCTACTTGCTGCTGGGTAACTCATGGCAGTTGTGGTGTTTCGGAGAACTCCCTTTTGCCTGCCTGCCTCCCTGCCTGCCCTGTACCTGCCTGTAGGTAGCCTGTGGGTACGGTGCGGGTTACGGTGCGGTACGGTAGGATATGAGGTAGCGCAGGGCAGCGAGCTGCTGCAAGTCAAGTAACGAGATCGTCGTCATCATCATCTTCAGGCTGGCACCGTTGTGTTGCTTGTTGCGTGGTGTTTGTTGCAGACAGATTATATTATTAAATCCCATTATCATCTACGCTTCCTATATGTGGTGGCCATATAATAAATCCTAACTAACTACTCACTCCCGAGATCATGTAGCTATAGTAGAGAATAGGTATCCACAACATCATATAAGTAATTATAATTATAATTATAACAAGCACCACCCCCCCCCAGGGCAAGGCCAATTTCTAAATATCAAGCATTAGGGTCCAACAATCCAGTGCCAATCCAATCCGATCCAATCCGATCCAATCCAATCCAATCCACAGCCCCCAAACCCCAACCCCAAAAAGAAGCCTCGGAACCCACCCACGGCCCGGTCAGGAATATAAAATTCATGTGCAAGTCACAGAGCTCGCCAGCCAACCAGCAAGGCCAGCCCGCCGCATCGGAAACGAAACGAGGGCATGCGATTCCCGTAAGCGAGGTTGGTTGATAGATATGATGCTCACCGCGCAGGACAGGCCCCAGGGCAGGGGAAGCACGTGGGGCACCATCCCTCCCCTTCTTCTCTCTACTACTCTACCCAACCTTGCCCTGGGGGGGGAAAAAAGCTAGAAGTTACCCATTTGGCTCTACTGAAACCCCACCAGGCCCCCCAGCTGGATCGTCCGGGGAATCGTGTGCTGTTCCGAAATCTAGGGGAGTGGTTCACTTTTTCCTTTTCTTTTCTTTTCCTTTTCCGGGATCTGGCTTCTCGCTGTCTCTCTTTTCCCTCGTGGAACGGGACTGGGGATGGAGTCGGGGTCGGGGTCGGGGTCGGGGGTTGACTTCAAGGTCCATCCTGAAATGTGCGGATATCGTGGCTTGGTTGAATGTTGGGGACGATCAGGATGGGATTGGGTCGGCGGCGGTGGTGGAAGTATGTACCGTCGGTTGACTACAACATATGGCGCGGCATATAGGGAAGAGGCATGTATGTCGTAGATTTAACTGACTAGGCTAAGTATATGGGGTCTGGACTGGGTTTGGTAATGTCGTTAATTGATGATATGGATGATGATGATGTGTATCAGAGTGTCACGTCAGTCAGGCGTAGAGTACATGGAGGTTTGAGCAGTTGGAGTAGGAAGGTCGATATGGATATGGATATGTGTATATTAGCACATCGGTATATGAAGTGCGTGCTAATTGCGACTACTCTACTGCGGTACTGTGCTTGCTCCCCTGTCCTGTCCTGTCCCGTCCTGTCCTGCTCAATTCCTATTCTACTCTATTCTACTCATAACTCTGCTCATACTCTACTCCTACTCCTTGAATGTATCCACAAACGTTGGGTCAAGTATCAAACCGAACCGCACACTCGAGCTGATACAGCTGATACAGTTTCCCGTTTTGGAGGGGACCGGGCAAGCAGGGCTCGATTCTCACCGATGTTTAGAGTTGACACGCCCCGGCAGCCCGTACTGTAGGCAGGCTACATACCTACATGTAGGGTACATGTAGGCACTCGCTGCAGAGTAGGCAGACGACGACGACGACAACAACACTTGTCTGTAGGCTGTAGCTAGCATCTCTACAGTTAGTGTGTCAGATCTGATCATACCACAATTCCAGCTCTGCTCTGCC